CAGCATGGTACTGGTACAGAAACAGACGGATAGACCAATGGAACAGAATTGAAACACCAGAAATCAACCCAAACATCTACAGCCAACTTATATTTGATCAAGGATCTAAAACTAATTCCTGGAGCAAGGACAGTCTATTCAATAAATGGTGCTGGGAAAATTGGATTTCCACATGCAGAATCATGAAGCAAGACCCCTACCTTACACCTTACACAAAAATCCACTCAACATGGATTAAAGACCTAAATCTACGACCTGACACCATCAAGTTATTAGAGAACACTGGAGAAACCCTTCAAGATATTGGCACAGGCAAAGAGTTTCTGGAAAAGACCCGGGAGGCACAGGCAGTCAAAGCCAAAATTAACTATTGGGATTGCGTCAAATTGAGAAGTTTCTGTACTGCAAAAGAAACAGTCAGGAGAGTGAAGAGACAACCGACAGAATGGGAAAAAATATTTGCAAACTATGCAACAGATAAAGGGTTAATAACCAGAATCTACAAAGAGATCAAGAAACTCCACAAAAACAAAACCAACAACCCACTTAAGAGATGGGCCAAGGACCTTAATAGACATTTTTCAAAAGAGGAAATCCAAAGGGCCAACAGGCACATGAAAAAAATATTCAAGGTCATTAGCAATCAGGGAAATGCAAATCAAAACCACAATGAGGTTTCACCTCACCCCGGTTAGAATGGCTCACATTCAGAAATCTACCAACAACAGATGCTGGCGAGGATGTGGGGAAAAAGGGACACTAACCCACTGTTGGTGGGAATGCAAACTGGTCAAGCCACTATGGAAGTCAGTCTGGAGATTCCTCAGAAACCTGAAGATAACCCTACAGTTCGACCCAGCCATCCCACTCCTTGGAATTTACCCAAAGGAATTTAAATTGGCAAACAAAAAAGCGGTCTGCAGCCTAATGTTTATTGCAGCTCAATTCACAATAGCTAAGACCTGGAACCAACCTAAATGCCCATCAACGGTAGACTGGATAAAGAAATTATGGGATATGTACTCTTTAGAATACTATACCGCAGTAAGAAACAACGAAATCCAGTCATTTGCAACAAAATGGAGGAATCTGGAACACATCATGCTGAGTGAAATAAGCCAGTCCCAAAGGGACAAATACCATATGTTCTCCCTGATTGGTGACAACTGACTGAACACCAAAAAGGAAACCTCCTGAAGTGAAATGGACACTATGGGAAACGGTGACTTGATCAGCATAGCCCTGACTGTTAATGAACAACTTAATACATTATCCCTCTTAGTAGTTTTTTTGTCTGTTCTACTTAATATGACTGGTTTAATTCTGTAATTAATACACAGTTATTCTTAAGTGTTAAAAATTAACTGAAATGTGATCCCTGTTAAACATAAGAGTGGGAATAAGAGAGGGAAGAGATGTATAATTTGGGACATGCTCAAGCTGACTTGCCCCAAATGGTAGAGTTAAAAACATACCAGGGGATTCCAATTCAATCCCATCAAGGTGGCATGTACCAATGCCATCTCACTAGTCCAAGTGATCAATTTCAGTTCACAATTGATCATAATGAAAGGACTAAGAGTCAAAGGGAGCACATAAACAAGTCTAGTACCTGCTAACACTAACCGATGGAATAAATAAAGGGGAGAGTGATCCAACATGGGAAGTGAGATACTCAGCAGACTCATAGAATGGCGGATGTCCTAAAGAGCACTCTGGCCTCAGAATCAGCCCTAAAGGCATTCGGATCTGGCTGAAAAGCCCATGAGAGTATTTCAGGCATGGAAAGCCAAGACACTCTGGCAAAAGATCTCTGCGAGTGAGATCCCAGTGGAAAGAACAGGTCTTCAAAGAAGGAGGTACCTTTCTCTGAAGGGAGGAGAGAACCTCCACTTTGACTATGACCTTGTCTAAACAAGATAAGAATCGGAGAACTCAGAGGGCTTCCATAGCCTTGGAAACTCATGACTGGAGCATGGGGAGATTACTGAGGCCATAAACAAGAGTGTCAATTTGCTAAGTCAACAACAGGAGTCACTGTGCACTTACTCCTCATGTAGGATCTCTGTCCTTAGCGTGCTGTACATTGAGACTTAATGCTATAACGAGTACTCAAACAGTATATTTCACTTTGTGTTTCTATGGGGGTGCAAACTGTTGAAAGCTTTACTTAATGTATACTAAACTGATCTTCTGTAAAAAAAAAAAAGAAGAAGAAGAAGAAGAAGAAGAAGAAGAAGAAGAAGAAGAAGAAGAAGAAGAAGAAGAAGAAGAAGAAATTATCAACTCCCAACTTGACTCTCACTGGGATTAAACATGACAATAGGTCTGATCTGATTCCATCATCATTTAAAAAAAAATCATCTAATATTTTTCACTTTATGTTTCTGTGTGGGAGCAAACTGTTGAAATCCTTACTTAATGTATACTAAGCTGATCTTCTGTATATTAAGATAATCGAAAATGAATCTTTATGTGAATGGAAGGGGAGAGGGAGTGGGAAAGGGGAGGGTAGTGGGTGGGAGGGACGGTATGTGGAGGAAGCCATTGTAATCCATAAATCGTACTTTGGAAATTTATATTCATTAAATAAAAGTTAAAAAAAATCAATTCAAAATATACCAAAAGCCTAAACATAAGAGCTGAGACTACAACATTTCCAAAGGAAAATATAAGGGAAAAGCTTCATGACATCAGATTTGATAATAATTTCAGATATATCACCAAAAGCACAGCCAACAAAGGCAAAAAAATAGGCAAGTGAAACTACATCAACCTTAAAAGAGAAATTAAGGAGTTGGAAGGATTATCTACAGATAACAGAAAAGGACAAGGAGAGCAGGAGCATATGCTGGGAGTGCAGTATCTAAATACTTTTATCACAGTATACCCAGGATCCCTAGGCACTTCCATGAAGAGATTCTAGGAGCTCTATTAGAACAACCAGTTTCAATCCCAGTTCAAAATATTCTATGTGGCACTCTGTCACTGTTGAGTAACATTCAGAATCCCAGGCTGGGGTCAGGAAATATAGTTCTAATCTTGACTTTATCATCTACATTTTAGCCTTCTGACCTGATCAATACATTTCCCTGCTTTGAATTCAGATTCAAACTAGGCAACTCTATGAAATAGAATGTTCGCTTTCTTTTCTGTTTTCCTCCCAGAAAAACTGCAAAAGGAACTTGTACACATCACATCACATACACTTAAACACCCATCAGAGATGAAGCCTTTCTACTTCCTAAGCCTCACACTGACACAGATGCTATAGTAAAAGTATGTCTTTTTGTCCCTGATTTTGCTCTGATCCAAGTCTTCTTTTCAGTCTGCTACCCATCTCCCTGATAATTTTTTTAAAGATTTATTTTATTTATTTTAAAGACAGAGATACAGAGAGAGGTAGAGACAGAGAAAGAGGTCTTCCATCCGCTGGTTCACTCCCCAGATGGCCACAATGGCCGGAGCTGTGCCGATCTGAAGCCTAGAGCCAGTCGCCTCTTCTAGATCTCCCACATGGGTGCAGAGGCCCAAGGATTTGGGCCATCTTCTACTGCTTTCCCAGGCCACAGCACAGGGCTGGATGGAAAGAGGAGCAGCCGAGACTAGAACCGGCACCCATATGGAATGCTGGCGTTTCAGGCCAGGACTTTAACCCACAGCGCCAGCCCCCATCCCTGATAATTTTTTCATCATAGACTGCTAGATGAGTCTAAAACACATTTTTCTATAAAAATGAGGCAATCTGGCCTCTAAAACTTATCATAGCTGCTCCTTACACATTTAGGCATCTCCATGATCCAGCCTCAATCAGCCTTACAATCTATACCTCTTCCTCACATAGCCCTACCCTGTCACCAAATCATTACACTTTTGGCATCCAAACAGGTTACTCTCTAATATATAAATTTGTTATTTCCCATTTAGGTATAAATGAACAAGCTATTGAATATGCTCTAGTCTCTGCTTGGAATGCTCTTTCTCTCTTCTGTGCTTGGTAAAATAATATTTTCTTTCAAGGTTCAATACTGTCGCTCCCCGTCTTCGTGGAGGAACGACACAGGACCCTGCGCTGTTCTTTCGTCTGCTCGGCCCTCCCCGGGTTTGCTGCTGGTTCTTCCCGGGTTGGCTACCGACCCTTCCACCTCCGTGGAAGGGCGGTTCCCCCTGCCACATTCCCCACTTCCGCGGCGGAGCGGCACACCGCCGGCCGGCTCTCTCGGGGGCTGCACAGGTGTTCCCCTTAGATGTTCCTCGTGCATGCCGTCTCTCTCCTCCTTTATAGTCCTCTTCCACCAATCCCAACTCTGCTACCCACATGCCGAGTACGCTGCTCTCCTCCAATCAGGAGCAGGTCCCACAGTTTATTGGTTGAACTGGAGGCAGCTGTGTAGAAGCTGTTTCCCTTCTCAGCACCATATTGTGGGAAAGCAGATGCATAGAATAAGTCTTAATTCCAGTAACTTAGTCTAGTCCGAGTTGCTCCCAGTTGCTCCCCACACAATACAAACACAACTTTAACCATACTTTTTTTTCTTCTTTTCACATATCAGGAGATGGCCTTTTCCTCCCCTGAGGTTACACTGCGTCTAATTTTATTTTGTGGTTATTAGTAAACATGCTATGTCTCCTTCATTAGCTGGAAATATCTCTTAAGCAGGACTATTTCTTACTTGTTTGCATCTCTCCAGCACTCAGAAGGAGGCCTGGAATATATGAGGTGCCAAGGAAATGTTAGCTAAATAAATTACTAAGGCAGAACATAGGGTTTAACTGTAAACATGGTTTGCAATAGGAACAAATTTGAATTACATGTAGAGACTGTTTTTCAGAGTCTATAATTAAGAATGTAGAGGTTTGTAAGGGAGATGTGGCTCACATGTGTGGCATGTACACACAAAGAAATTCCCAGGGGCTTGCCCTCTCCATACTTAGGACCAGACTGGTTCTCTTCCATGGACCTTCTTTTCTGCTTCCTTCTCCAGTCTCTGCTTTCTTACCTTAAGTGCACATCAGTCTCCAGCCCATAGGCCCCAAATTCAACAGCTTTCTCAAAGGCCATCATGGTATTCTCTGGTCCATGCTGCGGAAGAAAAAGATATCAGCCCCATGTCTCAGAGTCTTTCCTCACAACCATACCTTTTATAGTAGGGACAGAGTTACACAATAAAAGAGCTCTGTTAGCTGTCTTTCCATGGAGTCTGTGTTCCCCTCTGTTCAGTAGAATTCTGGGACTCTGCTCATTTGAGGCAATGTCACTGGGCTTGGTAAAGAGAAATGCACTGGGAGTTAGGTGACTTGGGTTCATGTCCATCCTTTATATTACCTTTTTATTCCTATAAAAACAATTCTTTTTCCTTTCCAGGGACTCCTATGGTTCTAAGGTTCCCTTTTCTCATCCATACATACTTGTACTCACCCTATTTCATCATGCTCAGACCTACCATGGGTGCACCTCTATGTGCAAAGAAGACTGGTTTGGGTCCCAAATCCTCCTTTTTCTGAATGCAGGGAGAATAAATCCCCAGAGGCATCAAATAAAGACATACAAGGATAAGAAGAAAAGGCAGTCCGGCAGCCAACTGTAGAGCTGACAAAGTTAAGAGAAGGAAGCAGGTGTACATAAAGATGGAGAACCATTTCAAACAATTAATTATTCCAAACAAGCAGTCGAAGTAAATCCCAGTCCATGAGTTTCACCAACTCTGGGGCTTAGCTAATTTATTTTCTATTGGTGTCACATTCCCACTATGTTCAGGAATTTGAATATAAAAGCACAGGACTATCCAAATATAAGGCTTTATTATGACAAGATAATTGGAGCTGTAACTTACAAAGCAGCACCAAGGAATGGGAAAGGAAGGAAAGAAAGAATGGAATGCTAAAGAGCAGTTTTTCAGGAGGAAGAACCTGGCTGCTTCTGAGAAAGCCTATAAAATCATCCTAAAACACTCCTATATTTCGGCTAGTACAGTATAGTGGGAAGGGCACTAACTGACAGAAATCTGGGTTCACAGTTAGGTTCTCCTACTTCCTAATTATGCCCCTAAGGATATGACTTAACCTCTCTGGGTCTTCATTTTCTTCTGTAAAATGAGGCTCTCTTGTTGCTAACATTAACTTTACAGAGTTGTTACGACAGTGTTGATTTATCATAGTCACTCAATAAATAACAGTTGCTTCGCTCCCTCCCTCTTTCCCCCTTCCCTGTCCCCTGCCCCACTTCCCACACTCTTACATACAGAGCCTTTCCATAATCCTGTTGTAACTGGCCAGTCCATAACATTACTATTTTAGACCTCTGAGGATTTTACACATTTGTACATTTTAAAGTTACTGCTTATGCTTCAGTGACTTCAAATCTAGGTCTCCAGCTCTAACCTCTTAACCTTGTGAATATATTACATCTCTTGAGTCTTTCTTTCTCATAGTATGTCATCCTGTATCTTCTTACTCTAACTGAAATTAAGAAAGTGAAAAAGAAGTTATTATTGTCCTACGCAAGTTCTTAACCTAGATATATTTTCTAAAAATTACCCCCACACAAAAACACACACATGCAAAAACACAAGGGCATCATCATCTTCTCAGCTTTAATTGAACCTACATTACTTCATTAGTTAAGATGCAAATACCTGCTATATAACCAACTGTAAAAGACTGAGACCGAGAGAGAAGTAGCCCCTGCTGGTTCATCAGTAAGACAGTAAGAGAACTCCATTCTCAGAGCAGTTTAATGTACAGATCTGAATCTCTTTGTTCTCCATTATATTAGGACAAAGAATAGAAAGGAAAACAATGGCAGAGACAGATATTTCTGCTTCTGCTGTAAGTCCCTAGGAACCCACAGGAGCCTGCTTTGAGTTGATTACATATAATCAAACATCTGGATCTAGATCGAACTGAAAATAATAATATTTGAACACAAACTGAAAGAACTATATCAGCACTCTGGTAAAATAAAAATTAAAATGGCCTCTACTGGGGCTGGTGTTGTGGCCTAGCTGGTAAAGCCATGGCCTGCAATTTTGGTTCATGTCCAGTTGCTCCATTTCCCATCCAGTTCCCTGCTAATGGCCTGGGAAAGCAGTGAAGGATGACTCTAGTGCTTGGCCCCGCCACACACATGGGAGACTCAGAAGAAGCTCCTGGCTTCAGTCTGGTGATCCCCAGCCATTGGAGCCATCTAGAGAGTGAACCAGTGGATAGAAGACCGACCAACTGACCTCCCTCTCTCTATCTCTCTCTCTCTCTTTCTCAGTCTCTTCCTTTCTTTATATAGCTCTTTCCAATAAATAAATCTTCTTTAAAAAAGCCTCTACTGCCCCCTATTGACTCTTAGTTAGAAAACATGTAATAATATAGAGAAACATCTTATTTTTCCAGAAGAATCTCTCTTAGGAGGAGGCCTGTTTAGTCATGGAAATACTATGACAGGCCACATTGGGTGGTGAATGAAAGCTTAAGGAGCATGCCTGAGTAACAAGCTAAATGAATTTCAAAGAAAGATGGGAAGGTAGCTACTAAATTTCTACTTTTCTGAGTGGAGTATGAAAGCTAAAGTCGAAGCTGAATGGAAAAGGCATGACATACCTTCTCTTTCCAAACGGGCAACATAGTAGGTCAAAGGCCAGGAAAGGAAAACCATCACAGTTATGCTGCACAGGTGTATGTAGGGAGCAAAGATCTAAGAGAAAGCCAAAAGTCAGGCTGGACAAATCTGGACAGATAAGGCGAACAGCTACAGGAGAATGTTTACCTTCAGTGACAGCCCAAATGTCAGCCACATGTCATTCCAGAATTGAAATAGAACAAACATAAAACAGATGTACAGCAGAATCACCAGCACAATCATGACCTGAGAAACAGAAAAGATCTTCTGACTTCCAGGCATGCATTTTGGATCACAACTGTCCTTTAGAATTGCATGTGTGTCTTTACAATATCAAGGACCTTATCTAATTCTTTTAATCTACTCATCTTTGCAAATTCCCATTATAGGATGGAACCAATTATTTCCCTTGTTTGTTCCTAAGTCTTTTTTGTACATTACAGCTGAAGAAAATTATCTAGCTATGTGTCTTAATGCCATTACCAATTTATCATCTGTAGGTACATCTGAGCCCTCATGTGGCTTGATTTGTAAGCAAATAATATGTTACAATTGCATTTTTATATTTATTTATTTAAGAGGCAGAGTCAGAGAGAGAGAGAGAGGAAGAGACAGAGAGAGAGAAAGTTCTTCCATATGCTGGTTCACTCCCTAGACAGCTGCAACAGCCATAGCTGAGGTGATCTAAGGTCAGGAGCCAGGAGCCTCCCTCCCTAGGCCCCCCAAGCAGGCACAAGGGCCCAAGAACCAGACCACCTTCCACTGCTCTCCCAGGTCCACCAGCAGGGAGCCAGAATGGAAGTAAAGCAGCTGGGACACAAACCGGTGCCCACATGGAATGCCAGTGCTACAGGCAGAGGCTCAGCCTACTATGCCACGGTGCTGGCTCCACAACTGCATTTTTGATGTAGCTTTTCTGTAACAGCTTGTAAATCTCACAAGGTAAATATAATAATTATATTGTTTAAGCCTTAAAGAATATCTGGTACAAAGTATTGGATAAATATCTGTTGAATAAAAGAATAAAATCTGCTTGTCACAATACTGTATAAAAAATACTGAGGGGCTATGGCTGTGGTGCAGCAGGTTAAAGCCCCAGCCTGGAGCACCGGCATCCCATATGGGCACAGGTTCAAGTCCTGGCTGCTCCACTTCCAGTCTGGTTCCCTGCTGGTGCACCTGGGAAGGCAGCGGAGGATGGCCCAAGTCCTTGGGCCCCTGCACTCACGTGGAAGACCTGGAGGAAGCTCCAGGCTCCTGGCTTCAGATCGGCTCAGCTCTGGCCATTGTGGCCATTTGCGGAGGGAACCAGCAGATGTAAGACCTATCTGTCTCTACTTCTCTCTTTCAAATAAATAAAATAAATTTAAAAAAAAAAAACCATTGAGACCAAGAAGGCATAACTTTCTTAACCTCTTCCCTTTCAAACGTAGTTTTTCTACATCCATACTGCTCTCTAGAAAGATCACTCCTTTGCTGAGTCTCTGTATCTAAAATAACTGAGGGGGCCGGCGCCGCAGCTCACTAGGCTAATCCTCCACCTGCGGCGCCAGCACCCTGGGTTCTAGTCCCGGTCGGGGTGCTGGATTCTGTACCAGTTGCTCCTCTTCCAGTCCAGCTCTCTGCTGTGGCCCGGGAGTGTAGTGGAGGATGGCCCAGGTCCTTGGGCCCTGCATCCGCATGGGAGACCAGGAGGACACCTGGCTCCTGGCTTTGGATCCGCGCAGTGCGCCAGCCGTGGTGGCCACTTGGGGGGTGAACCAATGGAAAAAGGAAGACCTTTCTCTCTGTCTCTCTCTCTCACTGTCTAACTCTGCCTGCTTAGGCCTCTGCCTACAGTGCCGGCATCCCATATGGGCACCAGTTCGATACCCAGCTGCTCCACTTCCAATCCAGCTCTCTGCTATGGCTTGGGAAAGCAGTAGAAGATGGCCCAAGTCCTTGGGCCCCTGAATCTATGTGGGAGACCTGGAGGAAGCTCCTGGCTCCTGGCTTCAGACTGGCACAGCTCCGGCCATTGTGGCCAATTGGGGAGTGAACCAGTGGATGGAAGACCTCTCTCTCTCTGCCTCTGCCTTTCCTCTCTCTGTGTAACTCTGACTTTTAAGTACATAAATAAATCTTAAAAAAAAAATAAAGCAACTGAATACACAACTAACTCTCTCACAACTTAACTCCTTGCTAGCTTCAACAGTAAATTCTACCAAATATTTAAGGAAGAGATATTATGAATCTTTTACAAACTCTTCCAGAGAACAGGGAGAATGAATACTTTCTAACTCACCTTATGAACACTGCTACCCAAATTCAACAAGGACAATAAGAACAGTAAACCATAGGCCAATCTCTTATGTTGACAGATGCAAACATCTTAAATAAACTATTAGTAAATTGAATGCATCACAACCACAAAGGTTGACTTGTTAAATCTAATCACATGAATCATAAATCTTACTCAACATCAGACTGTGAATGACTTAAAGGATACTAGCAGAAAAAATGTTCCACTGGAGAAATCTGACCTTTCCAATTTAGCAACTCATGAAAAAGTCTTTCCTTTCCTGTATTAGCACCAATCTGTTTTGGCACTTGAAATGTGAGGAATGTCTTCAGCAAAGTGTAGCAGCTACTCTGGTTATAGATCACCCATGCTATATTACATTAATATAACTGTAGCCTGCGATGCCTTCTACCACAACATATACATTTACAATAAAGCAATCTAACTAAATCAGGTACATTCTGCTAGAAATTTTCACAAATTATGACTCTATTATCCTTTGGCTAATAATTATCTTTATTATATTTATTGTTATATGTATTTATAAGAAGGTCAAGTTATTAACATGTTTATAAGGAATTTTGAGTGAGATCATTCATATCATTCTGGATGTCCCTAGGTAAAAGAGGAAGAGATTATAGGTACAGTGCTAACCTTTTCCTTCCTCGATTTATTCTGAGTCAAATAAAACAAATTTCAAGCCCCACAGAATCTCCCTAACCCATGAAAGCAGTCTTTCCTCAGGAGTCTGATTATCCTGGGCCTTACTGGTCTGAAGGCCCACTTCCAGGAAATGTCAACTCTTCTCATGTTCTCTCTCCATCACTTTTCATTGCCAATACAGACTCCTCACTATAACTAGATCCCAGAATTCCTCAAAAGATGAAGACTTATAAAATAATTTATATTGGCAAAAATTCCACAGAGTATGTGTGGGAATGATCTCTTAAGAATTCTAGATAAGGAGGTGAAAGGATAACATTAGGTCAGGCTAAATTTATTGATACAGGTATATATATCAGAGACTCTGGTTTCAATATTCTAGAATCCAAGTAGTAAGTATAATCCATGGTAGCCTATGCTTAATGAAGTTGAGATGACAGCACAAATTATCTAGAGATTTATTGAAAAAAAGTTGGTAGAATGGTAAGCTAACCTTCTCCCTATCATGTTGTTTGGGGTACTCAAAGGACATTGAAAAACACACTGGTGAGGAAAGTGTTGGCATCCTTAAAAAGCACTGTAGTGACTATCCTCTACACATGCATAAAGTTGAGAGATGCTGCCACCAAAATAGGCTTGCTTATTTCAAAAGGGATGATGAAATCCTGCGATGGTATAGGCCAAGCAGTACATAAGTGGAACAGGCAACATATACGTGATTTCAGTAACAGGCACAATGCTGTATGGCAATCAGAATAGTTTCACTAATAGAGATTCTTGCAGTGATTAACTGATCATGGTATCACCAATTTCAAAACAAATGGTGTTATCTAAGGACTATTTGTTTCTTTGAATTCTATAATTAGAAGATCTCATTGCTTCAATTTTCAAATCTAAGAATTCATAAATTAATATTTCCAGTCTGTACTTCCAATTCGAGTAAACAGAGATCCAAGGGGGCTACACTTGTTTAACATGTTCCTGGATCTGGAAAAACACAAAGGATGTTATCAAAACCATGCCTGAAAAGTGTATTCAAAAGCAAGAGGCTGTCAATCAACTGCTCAAGTCTACAGCAGAATAAAATTAAGGGAGGCTACACTGGAAATACACTCAGATAGTATGGCAAAACTGCCTTTCTCTGGGGATCAGATATAGACCCTTTGAAAGAAACCATGATGGTGTCATTCTAAATAGATCCAAAATAAAGGAGGGTCAGGGGGCTTCAAAGGAGAAATTTCAGGGGAGTATAGGAATTCAGGCACTGATTCCACTTAACATAGCTGAAATCAAAGTTTTTAGCAGAAGGGTCTCAGAAAACTTGTACAGAAAAACTCAGTGGAGGATAGGAACTACTGTGCATTTACCTGGTCCAGAGGGAATCAAACCCAGATGCCACTCTTATCCCATCTTGTGGGACTTGCTCTCTTTGTTTACCTCTCAGGAGTAGGAGAGGTAAAAGACACATCATGCTTTCACCAACACTGCAGGATTCTAGGCTTGGATCAGGTCCAATATAGGAGGGGGAAGTTTAAAGATCAATAAAGTGAAGTTTAGTTTATTATACTGAACTAAAATAGAATGTTTTTGTAACTGAAAAGTACTGGGAAAGTAAGAAATTTGCTCAAGATTTAATTGGGATGGAAAGAATAGGCTAACAGAAGGAGCAGTAAGAAAGAATAAACTTTGGGTTAGCTTGGGTTTATCTCCTTCAGCTTGTCAGTTACAACTGTTAGAAATGTAACTGATTCAGCTAAAACGTGTCAGTAGGTATCTTCTCTCTGGAGGAACACTAGAAGAAAAGGCGACCCTTTATGCAAAACTGAGTGCCAAGGAACACAGTCAGTCCTGGTCTAAGGTCTCCTATGGGGATTCAGATGTCCTACCTTATGACATGTGTGCAAGTACAGTTCAATTCTTTCCCGAAGCAACAAAACTCCTACTACCTGCAAAAGGAAAAAAAAAAAAGGAAAAAAGAAAAAATGGAGGTTGTTTTGAAATCACTAAGTTGCTGCCCAAAGCACTGTTCTGTAGCTCAAAATTTCCTTCACGGTCGGGCACTACATTTACTTTTCAGCCTCTGGGAGTTTACCATGTTGTTTCTCAGTCTGAAAAGCTATCCCTCTCCATGTCACTACCCATGCAAAGCCAGTTTAAATATTACCTTGTATTTGTAACTCTCATCAGCACCCACAAGAAGAATTATTATTTCCTCTGAGATTTTATATCAATTTATCACACTGATTCCCTTCTTTAGTTTCTGTCCATTTCTTTTTCCTGCAATGAACTTTATACCTGGTATTACTTGGATTTTTGAGAGAACAGAAGTCAAGAATCAGATTTTCCAAGAATCATTTACAAGCTTTTTCTTGAGAAACCAACATTGATGTTACAACTGTTAACACTGGTATATACTCAATAAATCTTAGATTTGAATCTTAATCTAATCAGTCACCAAGTCAACATGGACACAGAAACTGAAAACAGGAGTACTCAGATGACTACAATATTAATGATATGGTCCAAATGTGTGTAAGGCACTTATCTATCAAAATTATTTCATTTGTTCTTTTGCAGCCTGATAAAGTAAATTTACTGGCATTCTCATTTGAAAAAAAAGAAACTGAAGATCAGTCACCTAACGACAGAGCTGCAAAAAAGAAATCCTGTTTCCTTCCTTTTTCACTGTTGTATCCAAAAGAGTAGAAAATTTGTTCAAATGTACTGCTCTCTTGGACACTTGTCCCCACTCAATCAGCTAACTATACCATTTCAAGTTGACTGTAGGTGAAAGTGTTACAATGAAGTGACCAGATTTTGGCTGAGAGCACATACTTCATTTGCATTCGCATTTTTCCAACTAAAAATAAAAGTTTCAAATTGTCCTCACTATCTGTAGCACCCTTTACATCCAACTTCCAAAATGATTCTCTAAAACAGACAATTTATGTCAAATGTCTTATTCTTATTTTCTGGCCTTTTTTTTTTTTTTTTTTTTTTTTTTTTTTGACAGGCAGAGTGGACAGTGAGAGAGAGACAGAGACAGAGAGAAAGGTCTTCCTTTTTGCCGTTGGTTCACCCTCCAATGGCCGCCGCGGCCAGCGCGCTGCGGCTGGCACACCGCACTGATCCGATGGCAGGAGCCAGGTACTTCTCCTGGTCTCCAATGGGGTGCAGGGCCCAAGCACTTGGGCCATCCTCCACTGCACTCCCTGGCCACAGCAGAGAGCTGGCCTGGAAGAGGGGCAACCGGGACAGAATCCGGCGCCCTGACCGGGACTAGAAACTGGTGTGCTGGCGCCGCAAGGCGGAGGATTAGCCTAGTGAGCCGCGGCGCCGGCCAGGCCTTTCAAAATATGTCACAAACCTTCCTTTTCAGCTATGTCTCCCATTATTCATTATGCCCTACACGTTAACAGAATTGACCTTTCCCTCTTCAACGTAAACTCCATGTTTTTCTGTTTGGGGGACTTTTTCATGATGTTCCCTCTCTGTCATTCCCATATCTGAATCTAGTGTTCCTTCCAGACACCATTCCAATAAGAAGGTTTCTTTAATGCTTTTGGTTGGCAGCCACCTCTTCTCTCAGACTCCTTAAAAGAACTTTGTTAGGTCTCTCTGGTGACAATTAAAATGTCCTATCTGTGACATAGACTTAGACTTACTTGTATTACTAAATTCCAAACATCAAAGCAGTAATTGTAACTTTCTATCTCATCCAATCTCTATAAAATATTGCATGAAAACAGAAACTGAATGCTTTATTGATTTTTATATAACGAGTGCTTTATCACTATGTTATATTCACATTAATAAATTCTGTTGAAAATGCAAATGCCAATAGATTTGGGGGGACAAGCTCTTCTGCATCATACTGGGTATCAGAGGGGAAGGGAATTGTAAAATCACAGAAAGACGTCTTTCCTTTGTATGAGCAAAGGTGAAAAATGAAAAACTTGGCCCCAACATTACCCATCTATTAAGCTTTTTTTCTCACAGACTTTCTCTTACATGGTATAAATGTCAGGTAAGAGAGGAAGAGTCATACTATTGCCTAAAGGCTTTTGCCAAAACATACTCTGCATCTGAGCTAGGTGACAAGCATTTGTAAATTAGAATGGATTTACAAACTAATTTATAAGGCCCATAAAGACTGCTTATTTGAAGCTGTGGGTGTCTAAAATGACAATTCTGAGGAATCAGAGTAGACTAGGAAACAGGGGAAGGGAGAAGGGATGTGCTGCCACCCTTTCAATGGGCCCAACTGTAAGTCACATCCTCTAGTAGCTCTATCCCCCCCACTCCCAGTCCTTTATGCCTAAAATTCAAGTAGCTGACATAAACCCCAACTCTGCTTAGACATGAGTGATATTTAGGACCTGAGTTCTCCTAACACCAACTGGATACCATTTCCCAAGTAGGAGGACCTCCTGAGGCTACTCAAGAAAGACACATGGGAAGTGTTACTCACCACCAGCAATGAAGTATACGCAGTCAGGGTCCCAAGTATACTCAGAAAAATTATGGAACCGAAGACCCAGATTCCTGTTCCTAGAAAAATGGCCCTGAAAAAAACGTGTTTCAATTCTTAAAATAGGGCAGAAATCAGCAGCATCTCCATCTAGGATGGGGACAAACAGAACAGGTGAGGCATAAGAAAATAGAGGGGGGCCAGTGTTGTGGCTAGTACGTAAAGCCGCCACTTGCAATGCCAGCATCCCACATGGACACTGGTCTGCATCCAGGCTGCTCCACTTCTGATCTAGCTCCTTGCTAATGTGCCAGGGAAAGCAGAAGAAGATGGCCCAAATGCTTGGGCCCCTGTACCCATGTCTAAGATATGGAAGACATCCCTGGATCCTGGCTTCAGCCTGGCTCAGCCCTAGTCGATGCGGTTATTTGGAGAGTGAACAAGCAAAAGAACGACCTCTCTGTCTCTCTTTCCCTTTTTTTAACTCTGCCTTTAAATAATTAAAATAAATCTCTAAAAAAGAAAAGAAAAGAAAATGTAGGGAGATAAGAAGAGAGCCATCTGGGGAATGAACCAGCAAATGGAAAATCTCTCTCTCTTTCTGTAATTCTGACATTCAAAATAAATAACTCTTCATAAAAAATAAAAAGGCAAATATATACATCTATCTAAAGGAATACTATCTATACAAAAAAGTCATCTGTGATTGAAAATCTATGTAGGATTAACATATATGATGATAAAGGCATACAGCTTCAGAGACAAGGTGCTTCAAGATTCCTTGTATCATCCAGAAAAAGGATAAAATACTAATATTAAACTTTGAAGAATAAAGATTAAATAATATAATTTGCAGAGCAAACCAAAACAAGACAGCAAGAATGGTCAGGATAGAAAATATAGGTATACAGCCAGCGCCATGGCTCACTAGGCTAATTCTCTGCCTACAGCACCAGCACTCGGGTTCTAGTCCCGGTCAGGGTGCTGGTTCTGTCCCGGTTGCTCCTCTTCCAGTCCAGCTCTCTGCTATGGCCCAGGAAGGCAGAGGAGGATGGCCCAAGTACTTGGGCCCTGCACCCACGTGGGAGACCAGGAGGAAGCACCTGGCTCCTGGCTTCTGATCAGTGCAGCGTGCCGGCCGTAGAGGTCATTTGGGGGGTGAAGCAACGCAAGGAAGACCTTTCTCTCTGTCTCTCTCTCTCACTGTCTAACTCTGCCTGTCACGAAAGACGGAAGGAAGGAAGGAAGGAAGGAAGGAAGGAAGGAAGGAAGGAAGGAAGGAAGGAAGGACGGACGAGCCAATTTGAGTCCTGGCTACTCTGCTAGTCTTCTTCCCATCTAGCTTCCTGCTAATGCACCTGGGAAGGTGGCAGAATGTGTTCCAAGTACTTGGGCCCCTTTCACTCATATGGGAGATTAGGAGAGTTCCTAGCTCCTGGTTTTGGCCTGGTCCAGACCTGTCTTTTGGGGCCATTTAGGGAGTGAATCAGTAGACTGAAGATCTCTTACTGTCTCTCCCCTCTGTCACTCTGCCTTTTAAATAAATAAATCTTTCAAAAAGTCTTAAGAAAAGAGAAAAAAAGAATATAAAATAGAACTATTAAAAGCATTAGGAAGATTACGTGTGTAAATTCAAATATATCAATAGTTATATTAGTAGAGTGATATTTTTAATTAGGACGTAATGACAAATTTACCAAACTTCAAATAACCCAACCATATGCTGTTTAGAAGAGAACTAAAACATAAGATGCAGAAAGATTAGAAAAAAAGACTAAAGATGGAAAAAAACACACCATACAAAATTAATATGAAAATATTAATATCATATAAAACTACTATTTTCAAGGTAAAAGTACATGAATAAAGTAAGTTATTTGAAAACATAGAGCAATTCTGCACTAGGGATTGAAGACTTCACTGTTACTCATGCAGGTGGTCAATGTGTTCACTGCCCAGAAGTGGAGGATCACAAGTGGGGTGCTGCAAGGAAAACTACAGAAGTCGGCCAGTATCTCAGTTCTCGGGAGTACTGGTGAGCATTTCCTGAGTCGTGCTTGTGATCAATGCAAAAACTTACTATAGGAGACACTTCTGTGGTATACTTGAAATAATAATTTCAAAATAGGATTTGCGGCCAGTGCTTAACTGGGACATTTTAACAGAAGTTAAGAATGAACAAAGTGACCAATGTAGAATGATTACCAGAGGTTTTCCTCAGCACTATCACAATATTTGTGCTATGGGAATTACCAGGGTTTACAAATGAGGAGAGAGTCAGAAAAAATTGGATATTAGATATCTGCACAAAACTTGTCAAGTCCAGATTAGAGAACCAAGTATTTTTTAATTTATAAATATATTATCTTGTATTTCAACTTGAAATACAGGCTGTGTGGATTGAAATACAAGTGCTATAATAACCCAGGACTGGACCATAGATAAAGATTGCATAAGCACTGATAAGAGAAAAGACTTTGGCAATATGCATCATGACTTTTTACAGTGTTCACTGTTCTTGATTCAACAGTGCTACTTGTTGGAATCTACTCTAATAACATTAGTTTGAATATGAAATTTTCTCTGAATATTTTATAAAAGCAAAAAAACTGGAAGCACTCGTAATGTCTAACATTAAAAAATAGCTAAATGAGGGGTTGGCACTGTGGCATAGCTGGTAAAGCTGCCGCCTGTAGTGCTGGCATCCCATATGGACACCAGTTCGAGTCCCAGCTGCTCCACTTCTGATCCAGATCTCTGCTGTGGCCTGGGAAAGCAGTAAAAGATGGCCCAAGTACTTAGGTCCCTGTACCCGCGTGGGAGACTAGGAAGAAGCTCCTGGCTCCTGGCTTCAGATTGGCACAGCTCTGGCCATTGCAGCTAATTGGGGAGTGAACCAGTGGATGGAAGACCTCTCTCTTTCTCTGCCTCTCCTTCTCTCTCTGTATAACTCTGACTTTCAAATAAATAAATCAATCTTTAAAAAAATAGCAAAGTGAGAGTATTATAGTATTTTCATGTTATATTTTGAAACCATTTTAATGATGTTCTTTAGGAATTTTAATAATTTTAAATGTTTATAATTAAGTAAAAATGGAAGGCAAAACAACAGGTATAGTAGGAGCCACAGCTCACTAGGCTAATCATCCACCTGCGGCACCGGTACTCTGGGTTCTAGTCCCGGTTGGGGCGCCAGTTCTGTCCCGGTTGCTCCTCTTCCAGTCCAGCTCTCTGCTGTGGCCTGGGAAGGCAGTGGAGGATGGCCCAAGTGCTTGGGCCCTGCACCCACATGGGAGACCAGGAGGAAGCACCTGGCTTCTGGCTTCAGATTGGCACAGCGTGCCAGCCGTGGCGGCCATTTTGGGGGTGAACCAATGCAAGGAAGACCTTTTTCTCTGTCTCTCTCTCTCACTAACTCTGCCTGTCAGAAAAAAAAAAAAGCATAGAAAAAAGGCTGCAAATTATATATCAATTGATTATTATTTAAAAATGTGGCTTAGTAGGTATTAACATTTGTAATGACAATAATTTTACTCCTAATTGGGTAGAATCAATTGTACTTTACTAAAAAAAAAAAAAAAAAAAGGAAAGAAAGAAAGAAAAGTAAGATTCCAGTACCAGCTGCTCTGCTTCTGATTCTGTTTCCTGCTAATGTGCCTGGAAAGAATCAGAGGATGGCTCAAGTACTTGGGATCCTGTTACCTATCTGAGAAACCTGAATGGAATTCCTGGCTCCTGGCTTCACCCTGGCCTAGCTTTGGCTGTTGCAACCATTTGGCAAGTGAACAAGTGGATGTAAATTTATCAGTCTGTCTCCACTCCTCTGTTACTCTGCCTTTCAAATAAATAAATTTTTTTAAAATAATACGTCTCAGGGCCAGCGCTGTGATGTAGCAGGTTAAGCTGCCGCCAGCAGCACCAGCATCCAATATGGGTGCTGGTTTGATTCCTGGCTGCTCAACCTCCAATCCAGCTGCCTGCTAATGCACCTAGGAAGGCAGTGGAGGAGATGGTTCAAATTGCTGGGCCACTGTACCATGTGGGAGACCTGGAAGAAGCTCCCAGCTCCTGGCTTCAGTCTGGCCATGCTCTGGCAGATGCAGCCATTTGGAAAGTGAACCAGAGGACAGAAGATCTCTCTCTCTCTCTCCTCCCTCCTTCCTTCCCTCTATAACTCTACCTTTCAAATGAAATAAATAAATATTTAAAAATAATAAGTCTCATACTCAAATATAACCTTCTCTCCAAAATTCCAAATAATGAATAAAATTTGCTGCAAAATTAGAAGGCATGAGGTCAGAAAAACAGTAAGGTCCAGCAGCATGAGTTCAGCTATGAGAAGGTTCTGAGACACAACATCTGTCCTTGTGTTCAAAGTGCCAGAAGTCAGCTAAGAACAGAAGGAGGCAGCGGAGGCTGTCAGATAAGCAGAAAACTCAGAGTTCAAGGACAGAGATCATGAAGTCCAACTGGTGTAGGTATTAGAGAAACAGAACAGGGAACAGATGTCAGGGAATCATTTTCTGAGAAGGAATGGTCATTATATGAGATACAGATCAAGTGTGAAACGAAGCACAGGTAGAGAGAAAGTTTAAACAGGCTAAGGTGCTAAGCATTCTGCTTCTGCCCGAGTCAGGCCTCTCACCCACAAGCTGTGTAAAAGTCCATTGTTGTCCACCTTCCCTACTTGCCACCAGTTTGCAGTCTGAGATAAAATTCACATGGCTATCAGACCAAAGAGTCCTTACTTACATAAATGAAAACACAAAAAGAAACTTACTTACCAGTCAAGGTCAAAATATTCATTTGAGAGTTCTATCCACATGAACAGCAAAATCACAGATAAGACAAATGAAAGGACCAGCAACACAAAAAAGACTTGCTCTGTCTGGGAAGAGAAAGAACTCTATGTTAGCTCCATTTATCCATGTTACCTCAGCAATGTCTGTATACCCTGTCAAAGGTCAGGATAGACACACTGCCATGCTTTACCCTCCACAGGCTGTAGGATCACTCTTTTTCTATTTATTTACCCCTACTGAAGTTGTATATGCCCATTTATTAAAATATACTGAACTATAATTAGCTGTTCATGTTTGTATCTGACATTACATTGTTTTTACTTGGAAGAAAAAGAACTTGTACAGCCAATCTCTATATTGACAATATCTAGCAGAGTGTTTTGGATGTAGCTTGCTCTCAACAACCATCAGCTATATCCACTCAATTGCCATCCACCAAATGTTTGGTGTTCCATTCATGAATTCACTCACTCATCATTCATCAGTTCATTTAGTCATTTATCTACACAATTATTAGTGGAAAGAGGAACCAGAGTTAGGGAATAAACTTTTTTTTTAGTATCTATTTTATTCCAGTACAATGCTAGGAACTTCACAAGCCACTTTGGTTGATTTATTTCTCATAAGAGCCATGTAAGTTAGGTATTGAGGTATTGCTAGTTCATTTTGCAGAAGAAAACTCAAGAGAAGTAAAGTAATTGGCTCAGATCACACAGCCAAAAAGTGGCAGGGGCAGAAGTAGAACCCAGATCCCTAAGGGCTAAGAGCCAGGATGGAAGGTCTTTATGGAGTAAGTATTTAAACTAAATCTTGACAGCAATCCTCATCATTGAAAAATCAAAAACAGCCATGCCACAGAATTAGATTTGGGTTGCCATCTGAGTGACCTTAAAAGCCTTCCAGGGCAGTGTTGTGGTATATTGGGTTAAGTTGTCACCTGCAAATGCAGGCATCCCATATGAGAGCCAGTTCGAGTACCAGCTGCTCCACTTCTGATCCAACTCCCTGCTAATGCACTGGGAAAGCAGCTGAAGATGGTCTAAGTACTTGGGCTCCTGCATCCACATGGGAGACCCCCAGATGAAGCTCCTGGCTTCTGGCTTCAGCCTGGACCAGCCTGGACCTTGTGGCCATTTGGAGAAGGAACAAGTAGATGGAAGACCTCTGTCTCTCTTTCTCTCCCTCCCACTCTCCCTCCCTTTCTCTCTAACTCTTTCAAATAAATAAATAAATTTAAAAAAAAATAGACATCCTGGCCGGCACCGTGGCTCAATAGGCTAATCCTCCTCCCACGGCACCGGCACACAGGGTTCTAGTCCTGGTCGGGGTGCTGGATTCTGTCCCGGTTGCCCCTCTTCCAGGCCAGCCCTCTGCTGTGGCCTGGGAGTGCAGTGGAGGATGGCTCAAGTCCTTGGGCCCTACACCCCATGGGAGACCAGGAGAAGCACCTGGCTCCTGCCTTTGGATCAGCACGGTGCGCCGGGCACGGTGCGCCGGCTGCGGCGGCCATTGGAGGGTGAACCAACGGCAAAGGAAGACCTTTCTCTCTCTCTCTCACTGTCCACTCTGCCTGTCAAAAAAAAAAAAAAAAATAGACATCCTAACTCTTTGGGACAGTTTTTAATCTGTTAAATCTGTCTAAATTCTTTTATTTATTTATTTTTATTTGACAGGTAGAGTTATAGACAGTGAGAGAGAGAGACAAAAAGAAAGCTCTTCCTTCCGTTGGTTCACTCCCCAAATGGCCACCATGGCCGGCACTGCGCTGATCCAAAGCCAGGAGCCAGGTGCTTCTTCTATGTCTCTCATGCGAGTGCAGGGGCCCAAGGACTTGGCCATCCTCCACTGCCCTCCCGGGCCACGGCAGAGGGCCGGACTAGAAGAGGAGCAACCGGGACTAGAACCTGATGCCGATATGGGATGCCGGTGCTGCAGGCAGAGGATTAACCAAGTGAGCCACGGCGCTGGCCCCAAATCTGTCTAAATTCTAAAGTTACTGTGAGAAGTAAGAATAAAAAAAAGTAAAACACAGAAAGGTCATTTCAACAAGGTAAAGAAAAATGGTACAGGTATTAGAAACTAAACTACAACTCTTGGAGTATAAGGAGGATGAAGAGCTTCAGATTTGACTCAGGCCTCATACATATTCTCTGCACAAAATCTGTGTGGACTTTTTTAGAATTATTTTTTGAAATGTGCAGAATGAAGAGAGACAGAGACAGAGAAGGAAGTAGTCTTCCAGCTGCTGGTTCACTCCCAAAATACCCTCAAAATCCAACACTGGAACTAGACTCAAGCCAGAGCCTGGAACTCAACCCAGGTCCTACCTGAGTGGCAGGGACCTAACCACCTGAGCCATCACCTGCTGCCTGCATGGACGCACATTAGCAGGAAGGTGGATGGAAGCAGAGCTGGGACTTGAACTCACGTACTCCAGTATGTGCCATGGGCATCCCAAGCAGAGTCTTAACTGATAGGCCAAATGCCCACCCATCTGTGGACTTTTAGAAAGATGCACCAGATAATGTCAACCCCTTGCTCAAAACCCTCCCAGAGCTTACTACTGTAGTAGAGTATTATCCAAATTGAAATTCATGGCCCACAAGGTCCAACCTGATTGGCCCTTGCACATCCCTGACCTTATCCTATTCCATACTCTGACTACACGTCTAGCTGTCAGTCATACTGCCTTTCTTCTGTTTCTAGAACACAAATTTGTTCCCATCTCAGGAACTTTGTATTTGCTGGCTCTACTACTTGAAAAACTTCTGACCCCAGATGTATCCACAACTGGAAACAGATCAAATAATGCATTTTCAAAAATGTCTCTAACCACCCTCCCAATCCAGTTTCTAGTATTTTTTTCTACTTTATTATCTTCAAAGATCTTATTACTATCTGAAAACATCTCTCTTCAATTATTATTTATTACCTAATTCATCACACTAAAATGTAAGCTGCAGGAGGACCAGAGGCCTTAGCTGTCTCAGTTACCATGGCATATACAAAGTGTTCATTAAAATGTTTGTGAAATAAAGCCGGCGCCATGGCTCACTAGGCTAATCCTCCACCTTGCAGCGCCAGCACACCAGGTTCTAGTCCCGGTTGGGGCGCTGGATTCTGTCCCGGTTGCCCCTCTTCCAGGCCAGCTCTCTGCTGTGGCCAGGGAGTGCAGTGGAGGATGACCCAAGTACTTGGGCCCTGCACCCCACGGGAGACCAGGATAAGTACCTGGCTCCTGCCATTGGATCAGCGCGGTGTGCCGGCCACAGCGCGCCAGCCGCAGCGGCCATTGGAGGGTGAACCAAAGGCAAAAGGAAGACTTTTCTCTCTGTCTCTCTCTCTCACTGTCCACTCTGCCTGTCAAAAAAAAAAAAAAAAAAAGTTTGTGAAATAAATTCATTTTTACTTTCTGATTCTCACTGTTGCTACCTTAAATCAAAATTTTTCTCAAGTCTCTTCATTTATAGGACGAATTTAAAACATTTTAGCTTGACATAAAGATAATTTATCATTTGATGAAAGTATTTCTTCCCAAATCATACTTCTACTATTTATTCACTTGTGCCAAAATGCAACATTGGAAATTCATTTTTCATATAACAAATCACTGTGCTTCCCTGTGTCTGGACTCCTGATCATCTTATTCTCTATACCATTTTTTTTTTTCTTATTTGAGAAGTAGAGTTACAGACAAAGAGAAGGACAGACAGACAGGTCTTCCATCCACTGGTTAACTCTCCATATGGCTGCAACTTCTGAGCTGGGCTGATAAAGCCAGGAGCCAGGAGCTTCTTCCACGCTTTCTCACATGGCTAAAGGGCCCAAGCATTTCTGCCATCTTCTACTGCTTTCCCAGGCCATGGCAGAGAGCTGGATCGAAGAGAAGCAGCCAGGACACGAACTGGTGCCCATATGGGATGCCAGCAACACAGGCAGAGGCTTAGCCCACTATACCACAATGCCAGTCCTCTATACAATCATTTCTACATGTTTCTTCCACAAGTCACTGACTTCAAAAAACTAACAGCAGCAGCTAACATGAGTGCTGATCTTGTGCCAAGCCCAATTTGAAGTGTTCCCCATATATTACCTCTTCTATGCACCAAAAATGATTATTATCTCTATTATTTTAATGCAAAATCTGATGCACTGGGATGTTGTGACCTACTCAAGTTCCCACAATGGTAGAATTCTAAATTTAGAGACAGTAATGAAGCTACAATTTGAATCCAGGCTGTCTTTCCTCAGGACGTAAGATCTTATTAGAACTTACACTATATGTTATATTCCTTCCTCTCAGCAGACAGGACCCTAGAGATTTTTTTTTTTTTTTTTTTTTTTTTTTGACAGGCAGAGTGGACAGTGAGAGAGAGAGACAGAGAGAAAGGTCTTCCTTTGCCGTTGGTTCACCCTCCAATGGCCACCGCGGCCGGCGCGCTGTGGCCGGCACACTGCACTGATCCGATGGCAGGAGCCAGGTGCTTCTCCTGGTCTCCCATGGGGTGCAGGGCCCAAGCACTTGGGCCATCCTCCACTGCACTCCCTGGCCACAGCAGAGGGCTGGCCTGGAAGAGGGGCAACCGGGACAGAATCCGGCGCCCCGACCGGGACTAGAACCCGGTGTGCCGGCGCCGCTAGGCGGAGGATTAGCCTAGTGAGCCGCAGCGCCGGCCGGACCCTAGAGATTTTAAGTATTATCTGGTTCAATTCCTTACCTTAGAGAGGTTTAGAGTTATCACATAGCCAGAACAAGGACAGAAGGGCAGACCTAGAATTAGGACCTATCCATATTCCCAGGATCTGGTCCAGCAATTGTTCTATTTTAACACATTGCTCAAATGCCACTTTTTTCCATGAAGCCTCTCTATTCCCTCTGTACCCTGTCCTAATACCTAATACCTCTCCTGTGACTTACTATCTCATCCCTACATAATAAATATCCATTGAGCCTATCTGCTTGTCTCCATCTTTGTCTACTCTAATTCAGGCCACCAATATCTTTTACATGAATACTGTTATTGCTTTCTCTTTGAAGGCAAAGAGATCTCCCTGAATTAGTTTTGTTCATTCCACTATATTCTCCACACAATATCATTCCAAAATAGAGCTCATATTATATCATCTTAAAATCTTCAGGGACTCCAGCTCTCTGCTATGGCCCGGGAGGGCAGAGGAGGATGGCCCAAGTGCTGGGGTCCCTGTACCCGCATGGGAGACTGGGATAAAGTATCCGGCTCCTGGCTTCGGATCGGCACAGCGCCGGCCATGGCGGCCATTAGGGGAGTGAACCTAACTCTCTGCCTAGCCAAAAAAAAAGAAAAAAATCTTCAGGGACTCTTTATTTCCTTTATTGCAGAGATCAAATTCTTAAAACCACACAGTATCTGACCATCTTCCTCTCTAACTTCATTTCCCAACACTTCTGTACTCCTATCTGCTCCATCAAAAATAAACCTTCCACAATGTCTAAACTTACATCTTTTAACTCCTTCTCCATAACATTTCTTCCACACTATTTTTATCTATACTATTCTTAATCACTCTTTACCTAAATAAAATTATCTTTGGCCCCTTTCTTATGTCTGAGCAAGTGCCCATACACACAATTCTATAGCTTCTTGCTATACTTGCCTTTTCCCTCTGTAGACTATGAATTTCTTGAGAGCAAAAGCTGTGCCTGAAACACTTTTGTTTTCCCTAGCAAATAGGACAGAAGCATCTGGGCAGGAAAAATATGAGGTCAGACTATCATGTCTAACATGTCTGCCTGCTCTAGGGCAGTCTACCGTCACCCAAGCTTTTCCTTGGGTTTCTCACTTCAGACATAAGAAATATGAAATCCAGGACTGTTGCTGTAGCATAAAAGGTTAACAGCCACTGCCAGCAACACCCACATCCCATACTGGCCCCTGTTTAAGTCCCAGCCACTCTGCTTCCTATACAGTTCCCTGCTAATGTGCTTGGGAAAGCAGTGGAAAATGGTCCAAAGGCTTGGGCCCCGCACCCATGTGGGAGACCAGGAAGAAACTCCTGGCTCCTGGCCTTAGCCTGACCCAGCTCCAGCTGTTACGGCCCTCTGTAGAGTAAAACAGTGGATGGAAGATTGATCACTCTTTCTCTTTCTCTCTCTTCCGCTCTCTCTCTTTGTGACTCTTCCAAAATAAATAAATCCTAAAAAAAAAATAATAATATTGGGGCTGGCGCTGTGCAGCACCGGGTTAAAGCCCTGGCCTGAAGTGCCGGCATCCCATATGGGTGCCAATTCTAGTCCTAGCTGCTCCTCTTCCGATCCAGCTCTTTGCTATGGCCTGGGACAGCAGTAGAAGATGGCCCAAGCCCTTGGGCCCCTGCACCCACGTGCGAGAACTGAAGGAAGCTCCTGGCTCCTGGCTTCAGATCAGCGCAGCTCCGGCCATTGTGATCATATGGGGAGTGAACCAGTGGATGGAAGACCTCTCTCTGTGTCTCTACTTCTCTCTGTAACTCTGTCTTTCAAATAAATAAAATAAATCTTTAAAAAAAAAAAAGATTCAGGCATTCCTGTAATCCCTACAGAGAAACAACTAATTGCACCCAAACTTCACCTTTTCAAGGTTTTCTGAATGCATATATGTAAAAGTAAGAAAAAAGGAAAGAATAAAAGAAAATAAATACATCAATTGCATGTTTCAGGAAGTTTAACTTTGGCTCTAGAATTGATGCAGTATTTTTATGGAAGAACTGGAGCCCCAGAACCTACAGTCCTGGAGACTCTAATGAACCTTCATAGAGCCAAGGACCCGTCTCTGCTCCTCATATCGGAGAATGTACAGCATAGATCCTCCCCATCTCTCTGTACCCGAGAATGGCAACATGATCCAAGTTTGGTTTTTTCCCACTGTCTGAATTTCCAGTGGCAACTGTAGCAGCCAGTAAGGAAGGTGACATAGGATTTGTGGTTGAAGATTTTTTCGGTCCATGAACTGTCCTTTTCCGATTTTCTTCTTTTTGTGGACTCAATCCTGCTAGCCTTCTTAGGCATGATTCACCCTTTTGCTGAAAGAACAAATGAAATAATCAGGATCTAGAATGGCTCCTGTTAATGTACTCTATTGTATCATTCTACTTTATTGTATTCTATAGAAATTTTTAAAAATTTTATATTTCTGTATTTATTTATTTGAAAGGCAGAGTGACAGAAGGAAAAACAAGGAGAGCTTCTATTCATTGGTTCATGCCCCAAATGGTCAATGGATTAGGTTGAAGTCAGGAGCCAGGAATTCCATCAAGGTCTGTCATGTGGGAGGAAGGGTCCAAGCAATTGGTCATTATCAACTGCCTTCCCACACTCACGAGCAGGAAGCTGGATTGGAAGCGGAACAGCCAGGACTCGAGCCAGCACTCTCATATGGGATACCAGCAGCACAAGTGGCAGCCCAACTAGCTGTGACACAATGCTGGTGTCTCTATAGAAAATCTGAGCAAAGATAGATGAATTAAAAAAATTTTTGAAATATCATTTACAATCATCAATAATCTATTGGATTGGGGGAACAAGAACGGTGTTTCTTCCTACCTTCCTGCTAACTTGCTGACTGCTGCAGCCATTGGTCCATTCTAAGTTTACTTTTCTCATCTCTAAGTTGGAACATTCATGATAAACCAAAAGGAACAATAAGGATTGTACTTACCTTCCCACCTTAAGTGACTAAAAAAGTGGAGAAATAAAAAAAATTAGTTTTCAGATATTAGATAACAGACAGTGTAGGTTAGCAAACCTTAAAAGGGGAAACAAAGGTAGTGGGTATGATTAATTACCATTGACAGTCTAGTCAGAATAGCCAGAATAAGGTACCATGAAGGAGAATAAAAGTGGAGCTTGGCAGTCTTCCTAAACTGAGCATACAGAAATTTGGGAAAAGCAAGGGTTTCTCCTGCATCTCCCTGAGTCTCTAGCTGAATAATGACCAGTGCATGCCCATGAATTTATCCCAAGCTAGAGAAATAAGAATATAAAAGAAGATGATAAAATAATCTCTAAGGCTCAGATAAGGCTAAGAATAATTGTTTCCTGTGGGGAGCAACTCAGACTAGACTAAGTTACTGGAATTAAGACTTATTCTATGCATCTGCTCTCCCACAATATAGCGCTGGGAGAGGAGTAAACAACTTCTACACAGCTGCCTCTCGCCAATTTGATTGAGCTGCAGGAGCTGATCTTGCTCCTGATTGGAGGAGAGCAGCGTGCTCAGCGTGTGGGTAGCAGAGTTGGGATTGGTGGAAGAGGACTATAAAGGAGGAGAGAGACAACATGCACCAGGAACATCTAAGGGGAACATCTGGATAACATCTGAGCAGCCCCTGAGAGAGCCGGCCGGCGGTGTGCTGCTCCCCCGCGGAAGCGGGGAAAGTGGCGGGGGAGCCGCCCTTCCACGGAGGTGGAAGGGACGGTAGCCAACCCGGGAAGAACCAGCAGCAAACCCGGGGAGGGCCGAGCAGACAAAAGAACAGCGCAGGGTCCTGTGTCATTCCTCCACGAAGAGGGGGAGCGACAGTTTCCGCTGACCAGAGAAAAAATTCTTCTAACACATGAGGCATTACGCAGCACAATCAGAAAGATTAGGCCTACATTAATGGTTGCTATGGTGCAGTCCAAGGAAGCTTATTGCTGAGCATCAAAAGAATCAAAGCATTTCCAAGTATGTGGAACAAAGCTCAAGAGTAAGTTTTTAAAATACAAGGGCCTAGACCAGCGCCGCAGCTCAATAGGCTAATTCTTCACCTGCGGCACCGGCAGCCCAGGTTCTAGTCCCGGTCGGGGCGCCGGATTCTGTCCCGGTTGCTCCTCTTCCAGTCCAGCTCTCTGCTGTGGCCCAGGAGGGCAGTAGAGGATGGCCCAAGTCCTTGGGTCCTGTACCCGCACAGGAGACCAGAAGGAAGCACCTGGCTCCTGGCTTTGGATCAGCGTGGTGCTGTAACTATACTCCACAGGTTTAAGAATATAGAGAAAAATAACAATATTAAGGACAGATCTGAAATATATATTTTAAAAACCTAAATTGAACTTCTAGAGATGAAAAGCACAGTATCTGAAATAAACAATGTACCTCTAGGGTTGAAAATAGAATATGCAGTGTAAAAAAGAAGACAACTTAAGAATTTTAAAATTTAAAGGAGCAACTGAAACCTGTAGAGCAACTATAAATCATCTAATATAAATATGGAGGCAATGAATGAGAAAAGAGTAAAAAAGAGATGGAAACAATATTTGAAGAACAGCTGAAAAAATTTTTCAAACCTGATGAAAACTATAAACCTACAGACCTAATAAGAAGCATAACAACCTCCAAGGAAAAGGAACACATAAAATCTATAAGACACATCATAATCAAGCACAAGAAATAGACTATCTCAAAACCAGAGAGAAAAAAATTACATGTAGAGAAAGAATAATAACTTCACATTCTTTCAAGAATAATATCTTGCTGAAACCAATACAAGCCAGAAGACAACAGAGCAATTTTAAAAGCAAAAAAACACAAATTCATCTGGAATTCAACACTTGGTAAAAAAAAAAAAAAAAAAAAAAAAACAGCTTTAAAAAAATCAAACTAGGACCCAGCACTGTGACGCAGCAAGTTAAAGCCCTAGTCTGTAGTACTGGCATCCCATATGGGCACCGGTTCAAATCCACTTCTGATCCATCTCCCTGCTGATGTACCTGGGAAAATGGCCCAGTACTTGGGCCCCTGCACACCCAAGGGAGACTGGAAGAATCTCCTGGCTCCTTGCTTCAGCCTGGGCCAGCCCTAGTCATTGCAACCACTTGAGGAGTGAACCAGAAGATGGAAGACCTCTCTCTCTCTCTGTCTCTTTCTCTGTAACTCTGCCTTTCAAATAAATAAATCTTTAAAAAAAAAAACTAAACTTTGTAGAAAGTCAAAACTGGAAGAACTAATCACTAGGTGATTTATACCATAAGAAATGTTCAAGAAAGTCATTCAATATGAAGGGAAAAATGTACCAATGGAAATATTTATTCACAAAAGGAAATTATATGGGAACAATATCTAAAAGGCCAGGAGTACAGAAATAAAAATTCCAATAATATTCCTATACTTTATGTGATTGATACTCTATTTGAAGGCAGGCTCTATTCAGCTAAATATGTATACAATACTTTATAAAGTAACCTCCAGAAAAGGGGGTATACAACAAGCCAGCAATGAATACAAAACACAATTATAAATGCTACTTAATTCATCCAAAAGAAGGCAGCAAAAGAGACTAATAAGAAACAAAGAACAGGGGTCAGTGCTGTGGCATAGCAGGTAAAGCTACCACCTGCAGTGCTGGCATCCCATATGCGTGCCAGTTTGAGTCCTGGCTGCTCCACTTCTAATCCAATTCCCTGCTAATGTGCCTGGGAAAGCAGCAGAGGATGACTCAAGTCCTTGAGCCCCTGCACCCATATGAGAGAACCAGAAGAAGCTCCAGGCTCCTGGCCTTGGATTGGCCCAGTTCCAGCCTTGCAGCCATTTGGGGAGTGAACCAGATGATGGAAGACCTCTCTCTCTGCTTCTGCCTCTGTGTAACTCTGCCTTTCAAATAAATAAGATAAATCTTAAGAGAGAGAGAAACAAAGAACAAATAAAACACAAATTGCAAGGTGGTAGATATAAACCCAAACATAGGAATAAACAAATTAGATGTAAGTGATCTAAATACCTGAATTTTTAAAGGTAGATATTTTCAGTTGGATCTAGAAAAAACAAGATCTATTCATTGTACATAGATGCAGGCTTGACCCATGTGGCTTGCACACTGCTGGGATAGTAGGGTGATGGCGCTCTTCTGCAAAAAGCACCAGAGACAAGTTTCAGTTAACATGTCCGCTTTATTAATGACCACACACACTTTTTAAAGGGCAGGCGGAAGGGGCCTAATTAATTCAGAGCAACACTAATTCTATAGGATAGAACTGATATCGGCGCCCCTATGCTTCTCCAATCAGCTTGAAGGTCACATAGCTAGGATAGCTTTCCAGGTGGTTCTAATGGGCCTGGGACATACGTGGGAGTTGTTTACCTGATTGGCAATTACAGGGCCATTTAACAGGGAGCAGAGTGAGGAAAAGCACCTGGGGCTCCCGCCACCTGCCAGCAGTCAGGTTGTGGGCTCCTTCCCGGGAGGCCTGGTGTGCCATGCCCTCTCAGCCTCCTGCATGGTCAGGGCAGGCAGACTCCCCATCAGGTAGAGGATCACCCACACATAGGGAGAGTATCCAAGATGAGTGAACAGTGACAAGCTGCAGCCACAGAAAAATACTAGAAAAACAAAGGAAGAATTGTGTTCTCAGGGAACTGATTGAGAGAGTAAGGTAACAGAACAGCGGAGAGACTGTAACTCAGAAAAGACAGCAGACACACTGCCGTCACCAGTTGTTGCCACAGCACCTAAGCTAGGGGCACACATCCAAGGAATGCCATCTTTCTGGGAAAAGGTAAGAAGTGTCAGCTCTCATCACTGGCAACCATAACTGCAGGGGAATTTTTTTTGAAAGATTTATTTATTTGCAAGTCAGAGTTACACAGAGAGGGAGAGAGGGAGAGAGGGAGAGAGGGAGAGAGAGAGAGGTCCTCCATCCAATAGTTCACCTCCCAAATGGCCGCTACGGCCAGAGCTGCGCTGATCCGAAGCCAGGAGCCAGGAGCTTTCTCCAGGCCTCCCATGCGGGTGCAAGGATCCTAGGGCCTGGGCCATCCTCCACTGCTTCCCCAAGCCAAAGCAGAGAGCTGGGTTGGAAGTGGAGCAGCCGGGTCTCGAACTGACGCCCATATGGGATACCGGCACCTCAGGCCAGGGTGCCAACCCACTGCGCCACAGCACCAGCCCCACAACTGCAGGGTAATTTGACAGTCCCCACTTACATGAAGACTAGCTTGAGGAACTGTCTGAGGTCTGAACAACTACTTTGCTCTGAAAAGGGAAGCCACAGAGCTCTCTCCCTGAAAAGTGCCAGACTTAATTTTCAGTAGAGCCACTGCTGACCACTATTCTGATATAAGGAATAACATGCACTCCTGCTGCTCCCAGAAGCCACCAGAGCCAGATACATGACACCTTCCCAGGCAGAGAGAATACCCCCTGAAACCTACAACTGTGTGGAGTTCTGGGCATACACCTACGAGCTGTGCTCACTCTGTATGATTTGGGGGCAGGTGGAGAAGTTTCATCGGCTCTTGAGACTAGTACCAGCAACAACCCATAACAAACTAGACAGGGTGGCTGGTGTTGTAACATAGTGGATAAAGTCACTGCCTGCAGCGCCAGCATCCTATATGGGTGCTGATTCAAGTTCCAGCTGCTCCACTTCTGATCCAGCTCCCTGCTAATGTGCCTGAGAAAGCAGTGGAAGATGGCCCATGCTTGGGTACATACCCACATGAAAGACCTGGATGAAGCTCCTGGTTCCTGGCTTTGGCCTGGCCCACCCTTGACCACTGCAGTCATCTGGGGAGTGAATCAGCAGGTGGGAGATCGCTCTCTCTCTCTCTCTTTCCTTCTCTTTCTTTTCTTTTCTTTTTTCTTTCTTTCTTCTTTCTTTCTTTTCTTTCTTTTGTTCTTTCTTTGGTTCTTCCTCTCTCTCTCTCTCTCTCCTTTCCTCCCTCCCTCCCTCCTTCTCTCCATAACTTTGCCTTTAAAATAAAATAATCTTTTAAAAAATTTTTGACAGTACCAGAGCTGAGGAAGTTTCCTCTGTAATTCTTATCTCATGGTGTTAGGAACCCATGGCACAAACCCCGGTATCACCCTTGCATGCTGCATGGAAACTGGGGGAAGTTCTGTCTGTGCCTTATGGTGCTGGGACTACTGATGTTGATATTACAATCTCTGGAGTAACTTACAGTCACTCTCAGTACCTGGAGAGCTCTATCTGTATTGTTCTGCTTCAGGCAGGTGACTATGACCATCTCAACACAACTAGTTCTCACCCTATGAGACCTAGAAGTAATGACCCCATTGCATCCTGTAGTACCAAGTTGGTGACAATTAATTATGGTTTCCTTAAACTCATTAGAATCTACCTGTTGAAACCCAGGCAGAGCCTGCTTGCATGCCACTTCTCTGGACCCATACCTGCCAGTGCGAAATCTCAAGGATATCTTGTAGTCACCCTATAGAACTGTAGCAGGGTCCCCTTCACATCCCCCAGTTCTGGGAAGAGGGCTTTTGATGTACAATCCGCATCACCACTTTCCTAGAAAGATGCAGGGAAGGTCCCATCTACATCACACAGTCATAGAGCCACAGTTATCAGTTTCAGAAACCCCAGCACCACTCACGCTTTTCCAACAGGATAAGAAGACAGCCCCCTCAGTATCTCTCAACACCAAGGGCAAGTCTCTGGCTATTACAAACCCTAGTGTGACTTCAATGTAGGGACATAGAAAACATTAAGAATCAAGGAAGTATGACACCTCCAAAAGAAAACAGTTCTCCAGAAATAGATCCTGAAGGAAATCTATGAAATGCCTTAGGAATTCAAATAATTATAAGGAAACTCAATGTGATATAAGAGTATACAAATAGACTTTAAAGAAATGAGGAAAACAGATGATATAAAAGAAAAATTCACTAAAGACAGAAATCAGTAAAAAGATCCAAACAGGAACCAGCATTGTGGTATAGTGGGTTAAGTCACCACCATCCTAGATCAGAATGATGGTTTGAGTCCTAGCTGCTCTGCTTGCAATTTACTTCCCACAAATGCACCTGAGAAGATAGTTGATGAGAGCCCAAGTACTTGGCCCCTGCCATCCATGTGGGAGATTTGGATAGAGTTCCAGATCTAATGATGCATCTCAAGGACTTAGAAAAACAAGAACAATCCAAATCCAAAATTAGCAGGAAGTGATAAATATTAAGGATCAGAGCAGAAATAAATTAAACTAAAAATTTAACACAAAAGAACAACAAAACAAAAAGATTGGTTTTGTGAAGATAAACAAAATAAACCTTTTGACAGACTAACAAAGAAAAAAGAGAAAAAATTCAAATATTAGAAATGAAAAAAAGCAAATATTACAACTGATACCAATGAAATAGAAAAGATCATAAGAAACTATTATGAACAACTATAAGCTAACAAATCATAAGACCTCAAAGGAATGGATACATTCCTGGATACATATAACCTATTAAAATTAAATCAGGAAGATACAGAAAATCTAAATAGACCAGTAATGAAGAATGAGATTAAGGCAGCAATTAAAAGTCTCTCATCAAAGAAAAGTCTAGGACCCTGTGGACTTACTATTAAATTCTATAAGACATTTATAGAGGAACTAACTCCAATATTTTTCAAACTATTCCAAAATATTGAATAAGATAGAGCTCTGCCAAACTCTTTTTATGAGGCCAAATCACTCTAATACCAAAACCAAAGTCACAACACCAAAAGAAAACTACAGACCAATTTCTTTGATGAACAGATATAAAAATCTCAACAAAATACTACCAAATTAATCTAACACTACAACAACAAAAAAAATCATGCATCACAGTCAAGCAGGATTTATCCCAGAGATACAAAGGTGGTTCAATATTCACAAATCCGTAAACATCATAAATCACATAAACAGACTGAAGAACAAAAATCACATGATCATCTCAACAGATGTGGAGAAAGCATTTGATAAGATTCAGTATCACAAGAATTGGCAGATGCCAGTGGGTCTGCAACACAAGTTTGGTTCAGGAGTTTCCCAGTTTTAGGAAGCAGTTATTATCATGACAGCCCAAGGGAGCCTGGTCATGAACTGAGGGTAGAACTTCAAATGGGCCACTGAGCTAAGTAGGCCTGGAGGAAACAACAGGGACTGAAGTAACCAGGGCAGTGGCCAGGGAGACTCACTGCATCCAGTCGGTTACTTGGACAAGCAAGTGCCTGAGTACTATGCAAGAGACAGATGAGACCTTGGTATAGAAGCACTGCTGGGTCATTGCCTCAGGTCCCCTGAAACAGATTCCTATGAACCTCTTCATCATTTATACATGGCAGGCAATACTATCTCCATCTTTCCTTTATGATGGTGTGTATGATTGCCTGGTGACCCATTCAAGCACTTATGGCCATTTCAGCCACTTTAAAGATTCTAGGAATTTAAGCCCAGAAAACTTTTCAAGGTTTTGTGTATCTTAATGGGAACTTGATGGGTTTGGAATTAGCTGGTGACAGGTGCCAGTCTATGGGATTACTGCGTACACATGTATCAGAGTTGTTAGCCTTCATTGACCCCCACCCCCACCCCTGAGAGGGAGTTCAGTGATGGAGGGCTGCTTTTGTGAACCTGAATAAGAAGTACCTAGCCTATGTATTTATTTCTCATCGACATCCTTCTTTAAGCTCCTAAGCACACCATTAAAATAATCACTCATGTTGGAAAGAACCAAAAGCTCTCTTCTCCCAGGTGAGATCTCAGAAGGACAATATGCATATTACTATCATCACAAATAAACTATACCACAACTCCTGACTGAAAATAATGCAGAAAACTGTGCATTTCCAGCATAGAGCAAAACAACAAATGTGACCAGAACTCTAAGTGAACTAAAGAACAGCTGCTGCTAAATCAATAAGCATAACAGCATCTCCATTAAATAAGTTAAATGGTTGAAAACAATACTTTTAAAAGGTTGTACAGGTTTGCTTTAAATCTATTAACATCTTAACATTTCTTAACATTTCACTTCTTTTTAACACAAGTTGTGACACAAAAATACTGTTGGAGACACTTGTGGAATAAACTAATGCCCAATTCAAATTATACATGATGAAAAGAGCTAAAAAT